AATGAGAATCAGGACCTCCCAACATTGTCCAAACCATGCTTGGAAGTTAATTGTGAGCAATGTCATACATGTGTTTGAGAGTTGGTTGGTGAGGCTGCACACTTTTTTACTAGTCTTCATTATCATTATAGAGTCATACAGCACAGTGTAAAGCACAGTGTCATGGTGTCATGTGGCGAAATGGCGAGTGTTAGACTATGAAATGGCGAGACCCGGGTTCGATTCCGAGTCGTACCCAGGTTCGATCCTCACTCCACCCAGGTGTGAAAGGGTACCTAACTTTGGTTTAGGAAAGCCGTATTGACCGTCACCTGGTGGCGCCGAATGGCAGCCGCACAGACCCTTGCGACAGTTCCACAAAACGTGTGTAGAGGAAATATGTTAAATGTATAATGTGCATTATGTGATATCATCTCAGTGCTAGCAATTTAAGGCTGTGATTGCAAGGACAATGTTTGACCAATAAACCATAAACCATTCATTAAAAATAAATAAACTTGAAACTTGAAAAAATCCTTTTTCAGATGTTGACTCCTAGCTTTCGGCAAGGTGAATGTGTTGCTGTTCCTCAGCTGTCTCCAATGACATTGATTATCCATACTTTTATAATTGCAGTTGTGCTTGAAAACTGAGGAATCTAATTTTCAATTTTAGTTTTGTTATCTTCAGTGTGCACCTGTTTTCTGATCTCTTTGGACCCATTTAAAAATATCGGTTCCCCTGCAGGCAATAGACTTAATCCTAACTTCATTCTTTTATTCAGTGCTGATCATGAGGTTGATAAGCAGTTTTGGTGTTTACTTTAAGGCCACACCAAGTAAATTTTATGGATGACGTCCGCGCGCGCATTGATTTTGGCCTGTTCCTAGAAAAAAAAACAAGAAATTCCGCTTCCTGTAACTATGACCAAAGAGTCACGACAGTGCCGCAAATCGTTAGATTGACGTGAAACCCGTAACGCGAAATGGATAAAGAGCACATGCTTTGTTTCTGCAGGCCTGCAAAAATGTGAAAGAAAAAGGACAGGAAGATAACTGCTGTTCCACCTGATTTATTGCTGTTTTGATGATAAATAAACGACTTCCTGCTTGTTAATCTGTGTCACCTCATTCAATTTGTGTCCTAACATTTGTCCTCTCTTAGTATATTTCTAATCTAGGCATCTTGTTTTTTAGGGCCCTTCTTGTTTTTTTTTTCGCCCTCTCGCATTAGATATAGGGTCTCCAAAGGACGTCATCCATAAAATTTACTTGGTGTGGCCTAATTTGCAAATAGGGGATATAACAAGCTTAGGTTGTTTTGATTGAGTATGGATTTGTCATCTTTGCAAAGCTTGTTTGGACTCTGAGGACAATTAGACTACCTAGGCAATCATCTTAATAGAAATTTTGTGCCTGTGTTGCTTAGCCTGGGTACCATCCTACTTGTATGCCGGGGCTCCCACACTCGCTTCCCTACTTCTTAGGGAAGCGAGTGTGGGAGCCCCGGCATACAAGTAGGATGGTACCCAGGCTATGTGTTGCTGGCCTTTTGAATCCTTGTCGCAATATGCATTTTATTTTATCTTGAAAGTTTATCTCTGTTAGAAGTAATTATGAAGCAAGTTTAAACTCTAATTGATTTTAGTTGTTTAGTCATCATATGTATTTGGATATAATTTCTTTTCTCAGAAGGGATTCAAAGTGGAAAAGATAATATACTGTGTTTTGGCTAGGTGGGAGTTTCAAACCAGGGATATTGTGGATTTGTTGTCTGATGGTTAACTGCACTATACATTAACCCTTCTCTGGCTTAAAGGTAGCATTTTGGCACCAAATCTTCATAATGATAGACATGTGTTAATAGTCCCTGGACATCACCTGTTGTGTAAGAAAAATTGGAGAAAAGATATTAAAACAAATCACTCAATAAAATCAATGTGATAATTGCAGTAGTAAACTAATGAGATTATGATATTGATTTTCTGAAATTGACCATTCTGAATGTTTACCTGAATCACTAACTGTGAAAAGATCATGTCTTCTTATGCAATCATTGAGGTGTAAAAGCAAAAACCATATCCTGCGCAAACCAATATCAACACCCAAAGGTCAAATATCTCAGGAAATTGAATCCCATTTTGGTAAAATTGCTCTCACGAATTTTCCTTTTGGTTGGTAAGCTACATGTATATACAAAGGTGTGTAGGGTCGACGTTATTCAAATCCCAACAGGTATTTCAGAATCTGCACAACCTTGAAAACATTCTTCTACACCTGAAATGAACCCTGGCTCTATCAAATTTGATTGGTTCCAAGGTAAAATGGATTTACCTTTATACATGATTGGCAGGACTTGTGAGGCTGTGCTATCCTATGAAGATCCTGAAGTCCCTGGCCTTGCCACTGGGGTGCTTCTTTATTACCACAAAGCCTTCCTTGGTATTGACTGAATGAGGTTAAAAGATTCACACCTCACATTGTGCATCTTAAAGTAGGTGGATTAACAGTAATAGCAAGCGCTGGTTTCATTCAAGATGTGCATCCATCTATGAAGCTCAATAATTTGAGGGGGGTTGACACAATGTATGCCTGGTGTAGTCTCCACCAGACTCCTTTGCAGGCTGAATAAATAGTAGAAATCGGCAAAGGGGGAAATCATTGGCCAGAGGAGTTGGCCGGCCATAGAGGGTCCAGTTTGCCTGCACGGAAACTGGACCCTCTATGGCCAACTCCTCTGGCCAATGATTTCCCCCTTTGCCGATTTCTACTATTTATTCAGCCTGCAAAGGAGTCTGGTAGAGACTATGCCTGGTGTACTAGTAGAAATGATGTCACCATATTATAGAACTTCTGACAGTCAATTGTTATTGACCTGAAGCCCTTTCTGTATTCAGAATTTGCTAGGCTTTAAGCAATGTAAGTGCTGTACCACATTGACCTTCATTCAGGCACTTTGAATTAGAACTAAATCTATTGAAGGTTTATGTAAACTGAAAGATTACACCCTTGTCTTCTCAGTATTGAATCATTTGGTACACACAAGCAGTAATAAAAGATAATTCTACGTGACCATGTAACTCTAGATCCCTTGTTATTACTGGTAGTGTTCAACCATAGTCTGGTATTTTATTGGTCTCCATAGTGTTCTCAGTGATATATTAGACCTTGATACTAGGTTCATTCTTTATTGATGAGTAATGATGAAGGATAACCGCGTTATCTATTTGCCTTACATGCCAATATTGACTGATGAGAGACCTGTATTATACACACTCAGGCAGATGGCATTGAGGTTAACAAGTTTGAACCCAACACATCAGGCCACAACAAGTAAATTTTATGGATGACATCCTCTGCAGACTCCAAATCTAATGGGATAGGGAAAAAAACGTGAAGGCAAGCCAAACAAAACAAGATTCCTACATTTTCAAACTTTGACATTATAAACCTTTAAACCTGGAAATGATACTTATATTGTGCTAAGTTTAGTGCCAACTATTACTAACAACATTCATTTCTCACTCAAACAATTTTCAAACTTTTCAATCATTGTACAAATGGTTTTCAAATTGATTCAGTGGGAACGTCACATATATAATACACAGCCAGCATCACATACAATCATGTATAAAAGAAATGAAATACTTCACTACATCAAAGGTAACAAAACATTAAATTAGAGCCTTGTCTTGTCTCCGCTCTTCATATTTATTTGCCAACCACATTCTGGCATGGCAACAGACATCTTTGCCCATTTTTGGCAATGTTGACCACTGTCTATGGGAACAAAATTGTTTTTTTTAGTGCGCGCTGATGTCATCCATAAAATTTACTTGCTGTGGCGTTAAAACAAACGACAGGCAGCAGTTTGATCGACGAGGTTTGTCAAAGAAAGTGACTGTGAAGCTGAACTGAGTTAAATAGGACTGGTCGAGATAAAAGGAGGCGGCTCCTTTATTGATCCAAAGGTTTTTCTATTCAACATTTGGCTGAACTGGGGGAAGTCATGCTACATCAACCTCAAGTTGTTAATGGTGGTAAAGATCGTGTGTGGCATTTCTAGCAGATATGAACATGAGGTATTATTATAATAATGTACTAGAGATGAACTCTGATCATTTTAACCCTGTCTATACTAGGCCTTTTGTAATGTTCAAATAGACACCAAGTTAACAGCTACTCAAGTAACTGGATAGATTTTTAAAAACATTTCAGGCAGTATTCACTACTTTTCACCAAGCAGTCACTGTTGCTTGAGTTACACTTTACTGTTGTCTCGGTATCTCATTACCTGGATGTCAGAGTAGACATGCACTTACTGTGTAAAAAATCATGAGCAATGAAGCAATGTTGACAACTGACTGGAAAGTTCAACATAATAGCAACTGTGTTGCCATTGCTGATGAACTGTAAAAAAATGTTGCCCTTTCTGCCTTGCCGGCATTAGTCAACTGGTATGACCATGTCCCTTTTAAACATTACAGGTACATGTGCTATACAGATTGAAATACGTTGTATCTTGTTTGTTTATCAAACCTCTAACCACAACTTAGCCCTGTGTTTATTTGCAACTCCAAATATTGTAAAGATTCTTCGTCCTTTGTATACCCAAGCATTGTTATATACCTGAGTGTTACAGTTACTGTAACTGCTAGTAAAATAAATAAACAGAAACTGTAGAGTTTTAAGCATATTGATTGCATTCTTTGTTATTGTGGGTGAAAAAAGAATTTTTGTTTAATGTTGTATAGAACCATTTAAGCCAAGTTGGAATGGCTACTAGAAAAGGTCAATCAGCTCGAAAAACTTAACCCTTACAGGGGTCCAGCCAGAAAAAAGGCTAGGGTCGGCAGTTTTTTCTAGGGCAGGTCGGGAAAGAGGAAACACAACATTGTATCAAACATCTGACTCAACTTAGCCCTAAAGTCAAAACATCATTTTAAACCCCTGTTTTCAGTACTTTTCAGATATTCTGGTTTATATATAAGGAAGTTCTACATTTACTTTCTTGTGCTACAGAGCTGAACAACTCAAGAAAAAACAAGCCACTACCCAGAGAGGAGCATCTCCACAGAGGCCCGCTACAAACAGAGCCGTCCCTCCCCTTGGGATTGCAGGTCTCAACCTGAGTGATGACACGCCAGCCAACAGAGGTTCAGGGGGTGGCGGCGGTGGAAAGAAGAGTCCCACTGGAGGCGGAGGGAAGTATACGGCAGAAGAAATCAAAGTTCTTAGGTACGGTTCTGTCTAGACATTGAGAGCTTCTTATTGCCTGTGCTTAAAAGAAATAATACTGACTGTATCTTGTGCATACCATAAGTTGCCAGACTGGTGCACCACTACAGCTATAGATATCTATACAGAACAGGAAAATGCAGGATGCTCAAGAATTGAGTCAATGTTTTCATCATCAGTAATTAAATGCTATCTCTAGTACAAAAATGTATTGCTTATGTATGAAAAATGGCTGGATACATGTATGTGTCAATGACTGGATAACAGTAGTAGTTACTATGATATGAGGACATATTTCTAGAAAAGAGTCAGACTCTGTAATTTTGTTGAGTGATGTGTCTAGGTCACCACAATAATGATCATAATTGGCTATTTGTTGCTCAATGATTGTGCCGAAGGCTCCCATCACTGAAGAGTCTTGTAGATAATTCATTATCTGTAATTGAAACATGTACAGTAAGTCGTGTGTCCTAGATACAGCAACCGCACAAATTACTCATGCCAGACACTCAATTGGAAAGGGTAATCTTCGATCTAAATTGGATGTTTCACTTGACAATATACCATTCACACAGGTTTATTGTGTAAAGAACTCCGCACAAGGAAAACATGCAATATCAACCAATGTTGGAAAAAAATGAGATAACACAAATTATGAGGTAGTTTAAGACAAAAAGTCTTTTTGCTATAACATCTGTGTCCATAATATCACCAGGGTCCATAATATCGCCACCTTGAGAAATAGTGTGCTTAAGGATATTTTTACTGCAACATACCCTAGGTACGTATGTACATTTGATGTGTGAAGGAGTGCATACCAAAAGTATGTTGCAGTAAAAATATCTTAAAGCACACTGTTTCTCAAGGTGGCGATATTACTTATGGACCCTGGTGATATTATGGACACAGATGTTACTTGTTGGAACATCTGGGCATTTGACAACAAAAACTACCCCCTGCTTGAGCTTTCTATAGCACTTAAATGGGCACAGAAGGACATAAAAAGGATTAATTATATGGCTATTACAATCCTTAATGGGGCATGAGTGTGGTGGGATTAAAGAGATCCTCAGAATAAGAATCCTTTTATCTCTGCCCACATACTTAGAGGTTTTGTAATTAGTGACATGGAGCATTTGGCTAATGAGAGACTAGATTGGGATATGAAATTGGTCAACTAATATTACCCAGGGGATGAGAAGAACGATAAAGTCAATTTTTTCTTCACTTGTTCTAACACAGTTGTCCACTAGCAAACTGTTACCCCGTCTGATAAATATTTATGTCATACCCAGGCACGTTTGATATGGGTGTTCTGGTCTGTGTGATAACTGTTAAGGCCCAGGGTTCTTGTCGTGTACAGCCCAGGCTTCCAAATGTTCCATAGAATAATTCAAACACACTGAGTGCACCGCTTTCGAAACTTCATACACAGAATTTGGATGTTGGAATTGATGCCGTTACACTTTTTGTTTAGATACACCAAATATTGGCACATTTCGCATAGAAATGTCTATTTTCTCGGGTGGGTATGACATAAATAAAATACTACACGGTGTCAGACTTAGCACTCGATAATTGCAGTTATACCATTGTGAAATGTTTGAATCGAATGAAAGCCTGGTTACATATTACAACAAAATGACCTGATATTGTACTATAAGACTTATAATAGTCTGTCTCTGAAATAACTGTTGTTCTCACATATTTCCCAAATTGAAGCTTCCACACAGCAAATTGAATAAACCTGTGGACAAATTACATTTTGTATTACGCTGCTTGTAAATGATTGGCCAGAGCAAGGGCAGTAATTAAAGAAACCCCAAGAGACCGACTGAGGTCCACTTATTATTAGAAGAACCCACAAGATTGATGCATCACTTTTAATGAATTTATCTCTGGTGGGCAGACTGCTGGAAAAGCCTGAAGGATAAAGAATTGCTCCTTCCCTGTTCCATATCCGTATACTGTAAATCACTTTTTTTTTTACTTTTAATTTAGCGATTCTTTTGGTGACTTCTGTACCACGAAGTTATCATTACCATGAACAAATAATTTGCCGACTTTCTTTTTGCTGCACCTGCCGCCACCGCAGATGTATAGTTCTGCAAACAGGTCCATTTCTCTCAGACTGCAACTTTTGATACCGCAAATATAAAGTGATTTACAGTACTATGTCAAGATAATGGACACTCAAAACCAAAACTGTTTGAGTGGACGTAATCTAACTAGGATGGTACCCGGGCTACTGCTTTTCCACTTCCTTTCAGTTATTTCATAATCTTATTCACACCATCTGAAGTGAATCCTAAAATCCTAATTAATCTTAAACTAAATGTTGTTTGCAGCTGGGGTTGGGGTGGAGTGCATATCCTGTTGACTTTGTTACCTTGGTTTCACCATGTGTCACTTATGATTCACATCTTTTGAGTATGATATGCCTGAGTATGTTACAGGGGCCCAGGTGTTGTTCAGGTCCATCATACGTATATACAACACCTGTGACTGTCTTACAGTTAATGTCATCTGTATTTCCACGTACTGGATTACAGTTCAGTACCCCCTGGAATGTAATGTTAACACTAGAAGGCAAGTCTGTAGTAAAAGAGATTTCCTACAGTACGTCAAAAAGCTTACAACAGGAATCTAGTTCTAAACGGGCCTGATCAAGTATAATGCATTGATCGCATAAGATAACTTTCAGGAGGTAAAGCCAGGTGCGCCTAATGTTTGTTTGCAACTTCTTCCAAGGCAACAAGATAACTTGAGAAGGAGCTTAATAATATGTTTGCCAGTCTTTGTTGGTGTGTTCATTTGTGAAATAGGATGACTCAAAGGCTGTTGACAGATCTTCAAGATTTGGGTCTTCAAGTTCTTAGAAGTTTGGGAAGGAGCTGGATTAGAAGTGGGATTCTTACTTCCGTGTGCAGAGGCTTTGATTTCAGTGTGTCTGTTTGTGTAAGTCCATCATACGTATATACAACACCTGTGACTGTCTTACAGTAAATGTCATCTGTATTTCCACGTACTGGATTACAGTTCAGTAACCCCTGGAATGTAACGTTAACACTAGAAGGCAAGTCTGTAGTAAAAGAGATTTCCTACACTACGTCAAAAAGCTTACAACAGGAAACTAGTTCTAATCGGGCCTCAGATCAAGCATAATGCATTGATCGCATAAGATAACTTTCAGGAGGTAAAGCCAGGTGCGCCTAATGTTTGTTTGCTACTTTCTTCCAAGGCAGCAAGATAACTTGAGAAGGAGCTTATGTTTGCCAGTCTTTGTTGATGTGTTCATTTGTGAAATAGGATGACTCAAAGGCTGTTGACAGATCTTCAAGATTTGGGGTTATGAGAAGTTCTTGGAAGTTTGGGAAGGAGCTGGATTAGAAGTGGGATTCTTACTTCCGTGTGCAGAGGTTTTGATTTCAGTGTGTCTGTTTGTGTAGTTTTTCTGTAGTTGTTTCCATATGCTAGGCACATAAAAAAAATAAGAACCGGTGCAATGGCCAAGTGGTGCTCGCCTTGCATTCCGTAGGTCATGAGTTCGATCCCCGGTCGAGTCATACCAAAGACTTTAAAAATGGTACATACTGCTTTCTCTGCTTAGCACTCAGCATTTGGGAAAGAGTATGGGAGTTGAACACACACCACTACCAGTGGACTAGCTCCCTTCTGTACTGCTGTGTGTGGCCCAGGGCTAATAAACGGAGATGGGCGCAAGAACTTAACAAAAACACTAATACATGTATTTCAATCATGAAAGTTCATCTGTGTTGATACTCGTAAGAAAATTCAAACTCTACTACTGGATCAGTTACGGATTTTTTATTTCCGGATGTTTCGAGTGACATCCATCACTCTTCTTCAGCGTCACAAATGAACAGAGAACCGATTCACTCTTATATACAAGTAACTAGAAAAACCGGTTAAACAACAAGATCCGTAGGAAGCTTTATCATGTAAAAGAACGGTTCACTCAATATACAGGTAATTAGAACTAGAAAAACCTGTTCAACAACCGTAAGAGTCTTTGTCATGTAAGAAAGGTTCCTATGGTAAGAAATAGTATCAACGTATCTGTATTGATAGTTACATGTTTAGAGTTAAAACTTTGGATCCAACACTAAATATTTCATTTATTTCTTTGATTTGCAATGTGATGTGTCAATGATTTTTGTGTATTTCAGGCACACGTCCAACATCAATGGTAGAAGCTACGTTCCCTTTATGTCTGTGGATCTGAAGGAGAGGTTTGCGTTCCCTGTGCCCTTCAGGTAAGGCATCATTTTGTTACCTCTGGTGCTGGTGTAGTACTGAGTAACACCCATTCACTGGGGTAAAGCACACAGGATGTGGTACGGCAATTACAGACGGTATTGCCAGTTCCTCAGATGTTGGGAGATGGGTCTGGTACAATGCAGGAAGTTTAGTATGGCAGTGAGTTTTATTCCAAAATTGTTCTTGGGAAGTCTGAAAGACTCCATTTTGATGTTGGTCTGATATTGTCCAGAAGAAACAAACAAGTGTAAATGATTTCAGAAAATAGTTTCAGTGTATAGTGTAAGACTTAGTGTAAATGATGTTCTTTGGAGAACAACTTGTGGTTTCAAGTTCTGTCTTCTTTTTTGTGTCTCGTATTCTGCAAATTTAACTCAATATCCATTGATAGAGCCATTTTCTGGGAGCTCATTTCTGTAGATTGTACTCTTGAGCTTTAGAGTGTACCCTAGCGCTTTAGAGTGTACTGAAATAAGGGTATAGATCTTATAGCAGATGCTGACCTTGGTATAAAGCCACTAGTTCTGGTATTACACAGATAGGCTTAGAGACATATTACGAGGGATCTATGGCTTCTATCGTTTTTTTATATGGCTTTATTAGATTTAACCTATAATCACATGCCTTGGGCTCACTGCACCAGCCTCTCAAGTCATCGTCCTGTAGGTAAATTTTTGTAAACGTTCTTTACAGCTTGAGAGTGTATTGATACAGACATATCAGCGTATCTGGATACTATGATAGTCACTACTGATTTTACACTGTTTGGCCCAGAGGTTAAGCTCAGCTACTAATAGTTTTGTAACAACGTACACAAAGATGAAATATGAGGAGTTTATGTAACACATGGCTATAAACAGACCTTGGTGTAATAACACCCCCCACTTGTGCTATCCATTGAACACTAATGGCCCAGCACATAAGGTAAATTGACTCTATCTATATTCAGCTACTGAAACATGTTTGATAACAGATATACATCATCGGATGTAGGATCAGCACCAAGGACAGGAACATTTCAGTTACTAGTACATGTAGTTAAGATGTATTGAATAAAGATGTATGAAAAAAATACAACTATATATTTTGGCAATGCAGTGCTATCTGTATGCTACAGTGGATCCTGTCAGAATTTTTCAGATCATAAGGGTGGAAAGAGTCATTTTCTAGTCCATAAAACAATCAATGTACTGTAACTAATGATGAGGAGTCAAGCTCAAAATGCTTTCAGATTTCAGTGACATTTGATTTATATGCTGAACACTTGTTCCTTACTGTTTGATTACAAGTGGCTCATTCTTTCTCCAGTCTTACATGTTTTAATACATGTTGCATGTCGCATGTGGCTATTTTGAGCCCTGGAGTGTTTTATGGTTTTAACGTAGCATAGTAATTAAACATAAACGTAGATGTCTCATGTCATTTAAAAGGAAATTTTTCTGTGTATGTATAGAGTTTGATTCTTTCAGATTTTGTTAGGGACTGAATATTTATTATAACAATGTCCAGTGTTGTTATAGATTGAGTTCAGCACCAAGGACAGGCCCTACACTACCACAAGTGTACCTGTGCAACACTTAGATTGCATTTACAACTATAACAAAGCACAATGCAGACTCTATTCTATCAAAGCTACATTTATACACCCATTAAGCACCAGTGACAACATCCACAGCAAAAATCAACAGTTTATCTACTACATGAATCAGAGAATACAAACCAGAAAGAAGTCGTGAGGTCCAAACTTCAGCCACACACAGGTTCTTCCTAGTCTTCAGTCCTTAGGTGCCAATTTGACTCTCCTCTCACAGATAACTCGAAGCTGTTTGGAAATTAAGGTCCAAGAGTTAATTGTACCCTAGAGTCATACAGGCAAGTAGGGTGGACAGATGAGAATGATTAATAGCAAGGGTTAGCGATCTAGCTAGCCTTGGGTGTTATCTGACAAAAACGTCTTGCACGGAAAAAAGATTGCTTTCAACCACATTAGATACATCGGAGCCTTATCTAATTCTTAAGAATAGGATAAGAAGTACTTGAGTAGTTGTGACATGATAAGTATAAAATCGGCTGTTATGTGACGGATGTTTGTTGGGTGTATGGAATAGAGCATAGCAGGAAGCTGGGATTGATAAGAAGATTTGATGATATTGAAGGAGGTGTAAGCACTAGGGTATGCTTGATGTTATTCAGAATCTCTTTTACACGTTGGTGAACTTCTAGTGAGTTGGGCTTCCAAGCTGCAAATTGAGATCAACTTGGCATTTGGCCAGATTTAGGGGCAGACCATGTCAGATCATGGGGGGGGGGTGATGGTGTTTTGTTTTTTTTTGCCCGAAATATAAAGAATAATAAAATGCAAAAATGTATACTAATAAGTCAAGGGAATAGAGTTGTTCAAAGTACCAATGGAATACATGTACAGTTGTCATACAGACCCTTCTACAATCCATGCATGCATCTATCCATTCATCCGTCCATCCACCCATCCATCCATCCATCTATCCATTCATCCTTCCATCCATTTATCCATCCATCTATCCATTCATCCATCCACCCATCCATCCATCCATCTATCCATCTGTCCATTCATCCATCCATCCATCCATTTATCCATCCATTTATCCATCCATCCATTCATCCATCCACCCATCCATCCATCCATCCATCCATCCTTTCTGTGCAATGTTCCGTGGCATCAGAACTGTCCTCAATTGCTCTCTTTTTTATTATTTCTAGTACATGTACGTCTGCCTTTGACTGTAAAGGTGATACCAGGCAATTATCAGTCATATTACATGTCATTGAGTTAACTGACATTAATGAGAAATCTTTTGAAGAGAAGTTCTATCTACTGGAATCCATCTGGCTTCTCTGATTACTTTTCTCATAGTATAGTCTGGCACCCATCCACATTTAAACATTTGGCACCCACATCATTAATCTTTTTGGGTGTCAGATATTTCTCAGATGCAATGTAACAAACTTTCAAATTTCTGTTTTAAACCGTGTTACTATGCTGTTACAGAGTCCGCACTTAGTTGCGGTGTGTATTTGAATACCAAACGATTCCGTATTAACTTTTTCCCTGCTGCCTAACCCCATGACCAGTACATACATGTATTTGGTGCCAAACAGCTACTTTTAAATTAGCAGGCTGAAGAAGAACTGGTGCCAGACTGTTTAACAGGAAAGCAATCGTAGGAGCGTAATGCAGCTAAGGATAAGACACTATAGCTGCTGGCTTACGTGACAAAAAGCACGAAAATAGATAAAAGACAGATAAAAGGAGAAAAATAGCTTTTGGCTGCTCTCAGAATTAATCAAGAGAACAGAAAACTCCCTAAAGTTATTCCATATCTAATCTGAAGCACCAGGATGCACGGTGTAATGCCAAGGAAGTTTGTTTCCAGGCCTACGTCAGGAGAACCGTTATTGGATTTATGAGTTTCCAAAGCCTATAAACCCAAGGTTCCATCAGCTATGCCGTGATACCCTTGAGCTCGGCAAACATGTCACGTGTTTCTGTACATGTGCATCAATGTATGCTAGAGCAGGCACACTACAGGTGATGTTAGACTAAGTCAAGATTGACAGAATTTTCTGGAAAAAAATGTAGCGTCTTCTTGAAAACTTTTGTTGGGCAAGGAGCGACGGAAAATGTTTTTGGTCTTCTGTCGAATCTGCTTTAATCGTAGCAATGAATATTCCTCAGTACTTTTGTCTTGTTGAAAGATCTACTTTTGGGTACATTGACAATGCAACATAAGATACAGCATGCTATAGTAAGTCATGGGGACAATTTGATTATGTATTTGTAGAGACTTTCCCATTTCCTGTTTTCCATGTCATAACTGAGATATTAACCCCCTCAAATTATTTTCTTTATCTAATCTGAAGAACCAGAATTTGTAAATCGTAATGCCACAGAAGTTTATTTTCCATTCTATGGATGAGTTTCTAAAGCCTAAGATTGAGGTTATGTTAGCTATGTCGTGAATCCCTTGAGCTTTCCAAACATGTCACGTGCTGCTGTGTGTGTATGCAACAACGTGAGGATGGAGAGAGTGGGTGGCTGGATGACATTTAGACTATGTCACGCTACGCCAGATTTTTCTGGTAAAAACTAGTAGCGACATTCACTTCTAAACCTTTAACACACTGAAGTAGCCATTTAGTTACCTTCACCTTCATGTTGTTAGGAAGCACGTAGGCAGAATGTACCTGCCTGTAATGTATTATGAGTAACACTTCGGAAGAACGTCTGATATAAGGTTGTATTCGCCATATAAGGTTAACATTCCGCCTGTAGTTTCCAAATGTTATGTCAGAAAAAATATTGCCTGCAACAGGCAAAATTCTGATGCAACATTGACCAAGAATCCTATGAAAACCGTGCAAAATGGGGGTTTCGTGCAGGCGTTCTGCCCACATGCTTTGTTAGGAGGCATTAAAAAATTATGAAAAGCTTTTTAGGAAAAGGACCTGGGATAAATGTTTGTAGTCTTCTGTTAAATCTAGCAATTCATTTTCTTCAGTACTTTTCTTTTGTTGACAGGTCTGTTTTCTATATACCTTATTTGTAGAATCCTTCCCATTTCCATAGGGAGAAGGTTTTGTTTTGTGTGTCATATCTGAGACATTTGTCTCTTGTCAGAGCATACGTGCATAGCTACATGTACTGGAAAAGCTGCCCAAAGACGTTTCTATGGATCCGAAATAGTTTGGAGATTAGACTGTCAAGTTACAAAGATCATCATACCATGCCCTTCCAACAATATTTAGGAATCACCAATGGAGGCAAAAGATTAATATTTGGTGAATATACAATGTAGCTGCCATATTTCAGAAAAGATCAAATTGAATCTTTATTTTCTTCTAATAAAAAAAATCTAGTACTGGAAAAGGGAAAAGGACATTGAGGCCATAGTAAGCACTTTTCACTCTTGCATACATGTACATGTGACTGTCTAAAGTGTACTTCCACAGTCATCAT